TGCTCATTGTGGTGGGGAAGGGCAATACATGAGTGTGATTGCAGATGACACAAGAAGGAGTAGCGAACGCGCATAGAGTCGTGACGGCGCGGTGCCCAGAGCTGCTTTCCAGGCACTCCGTATCCTGCACCACGTGGACTATTACGGTCATTTTAGCTGGCGTCGTCGATCATTTGCACCACAATCCAAAATAACCCATGCAAGCAAGCGGTGTGATAAAATTACTTGCAATCGCAAAAGCAGTGGTTTCGTTTTCCTTACCAACGACTTCCCCCTCGTCACATGGCACCCAGGGGTCCCAGGTCCAGTCCCAGAACTTGTCCGAGAGGAGCCAGTCCATGCCGGTGACGGCGCTGGCGTTACTCGAAGACTTGAGGCAGCGGAACTCACCGAACGGCGAGGGCATGGCGGCGTACAGGACCATGGCCATGTGCCATGCCGTCGTCACCTATGGCATGGAACAGTGATACATGTCAAGTGTCCAAATTGGACCGATGTTTCCAAAACTCTCTGATCTGACCAGCTGATCATCATCACCCTTTGGACCCCTGTGGGTCTCAGGATAGGCCACCTGCTCAAGACGCCTGCACACTATTGCCTACCTACCAGGCGCGTCAACAAAAAAAATCTCTCAAATTCTTCATAAACTGTCCCTCCAATGTTGTTATTTATTTTCATAAAACTCTTCTCTACTCCGGACACATTCAAGAATAAATTTCGTTCAGGGTTTCTTAGAACTATATAGACAAATTTAACTCACTTCAATTGCCTATTTTGAGGCTTACATTATGGCTCACGACTAGTATTTTCTCTCACACTCGCCCATTCACTCACTCACTCGTGGCTCCACTCGGCTAGAGAAGAGCTTACCTTGCAGAGGCCGGCGAGCAGCGTGGTCCTCGCCTGCCACCATCCCCAGGGCAGCCCGTCGAAGGGCGGCGGGGCAGCCGGGTCCTTCTTGCCGTCCCCGTTGACCGTGAACACCACGGGCTTGGGGTGGAACGTCATGAGCGGCACCTGGTGGAGGGGTCGGCAAACACGACTCCATTAACACAGATACACATGCACTTGCTTTTATCGTAGCATACGGATAGATGCGGAATTTTCGCGCTACGAACAATTTGTGCCAGAAACATTTGTTTTGTATATGCCTTGTATAATTGTATATCAAACTGAATAGATGACTTACAGGCCCTCTCCACGTTGCACATGGTCACATGGGAACTAAACAGGGACCCAAACAATCTCGAATTCAA